TGTTGTTTTTCAGTTTTTGGCATAATTTGAAAATGCCTGTTGCTCTTTACATTGTGTGTAAATTTCATGATGAGTGGACCAAAAGAAATGGCCCAAAATGACTTGGAAAAAAGTCTGTTTCCATTGGCTTAGATTAAAAGTAAAGAATGTTTTTTCAGTCTTGTGTAAAATTACCATTTTGAGATAAAAGGTTTTGTTTCGACAACAGTGACATGCTGGTTGTGACCAACCATGCTGGTCTATGCTGGTTGTTCTAGCAGGGACAATACAAGCTGACTATTTATATTGTACACAATGGAACATTTTTACAGATGTTTTTATGTTTTTGCAGGCAGGCTCCAATTTAGTCTTTTTCATAGACTGAATACGGATGCTTGGCAAGTGAGAAGGAAAGCCAGTGTTATCCACATGTGGATATTGATTGCAGCAGGGCAGAATACGAGGGGTAGGAAAATACATTAATAATTAGTAAAGTGTAGTTTTTCTCTTGTTTTATTTAACTCTCACATGTAAAACCCAACTATCATGATGAAAGCCTATGAAGTATTGAAAAGTTAATGAATTGTGGATTAGCTGCACACACAGAGTCACAGGCCACACCAAACAGAGCTACATAACAAAATAACATACATATGGTGCCATGCAAGAGAGATGCAGTACAGACAGTTGCAGGCTAAACTACCAGTTATTTCTCTTTCACCTGCATTCGTGTGGAAGCGGTAGAGGTGCAGTGATTTATCCGTTGCCAAAGCCTCCAGGTTTTTATCACAATATTAAATCTTGAGCAGGCAAGAGCTAATTAGTCTGTTTCCCAGAGACAAACAATTGACCTTTGGCCTGCCCATGTGGTTCACTGAGCACGTGTTAAACATGCTGTAATCACTTGTTTGCAGAAGTTAATACCACCGACTGTAAATCCTGTTCGTCCATGCAAAAGATGTCATGGCCATTTCATATAGACCACAATTTATAAGACCTAACAAAAGGAGAGACTGTGTGGTCACATGTGAGGTCACATGAGAGAGTAGGGGTTTTTATTGCTATTAAAGGGGAACTCCACAGATTTTTCAAAATGTCTGCATGATTAAGTGTCAACAAAAGTGGTTTGCTGTGAAATGCTTTGTCCTAGAGAAACTTACGAAGTCGGAATGGTTACAGTGGTGATAATAGGAAACAGACGTCTGAAGAGTTTACCGCCACTAAAAGCTCCCTGCCAGAAAGTTGTTACATGAGATGGTTATGAATACACTGACTGATTTCTGAGACACTGTTTTACAGTAGTTTTGTGATAAAGTTTTGGTCTAAAACTAGTAAATAACGCCTATATTTCCTTGGTACACATTGGGACCCCTGGTTCCTATCACCACCACTATGAAGAAATCTGAGTCTATAAGTTTCTCTGCAAGTGAACCATTTGGAAAATTACTGGAATTCCCCTTCAAGGGTCTGTTTCCTCTCGCTCCCAAACATATTCTTTTGTATGTAAGAATGGACCAATAATTAACACAGAATTAAGTTTGATAATGAAATTGTGTTAGAAAATCTCTTGTTATGCCTTTTGAGAATTAATATTAAATACATTTTTAAAAATGCGTACTCAGGACAACCTGGTGTCTTGCAGCTGCTTATACTGCTTATACACAGTCATATGCAAAAGTTTGGGGGCCCCTTGTCAAATTACATGTTTCATTGACTTTCTAAGTCAAAGTAAGTTACACATCCTCTACAGAGAACACACTTCTGCACATTTTAATGCACAGTTACTATTTGTTTGCTGAATGTAACACATTGGGAAAAAAAATAAAACATAAAATATGCCCTGTTGTGGCACAATTAATATTTTTTGTTTTATTTTGTTTCCAATATGTTAAACTAGCAAATAAAAAGACGTTGTGCACTAGAATTTGCAGAGAAATGTCAGATTTAAGTGTGTGCTCTGTAGAGGATGTCAACATATTTTCAACAAAACCTAATTTGACCAGGGGCGCCCAAACTTTTGAACATGACTGTATATCAGGAAATGTTCACTCAGTGTAAAGGACCGCAAACATTTTGAAAAGGTGTAAATTATGAAGAATAGATTTAAACAGTAAAGGAAATATGACCTTATTAATGTTAACTTTCTCTGTCTCTCTCTGTCCCTCCCTTCTCTCTCTCCCCGTCTCTCTTTTTCTCTCTCTCTCTCTTGCTCGCTCTTTCTCTCTCTCTCTCTCCCTCTCTCTGTCTCTCTCTCCCCCTTTCTTTTCTCTCTCTCTCTCTGTCTCCCACCCCCCTCTCTCGCTTTCCCCCCTTCTCTCTCCTTCCTTCTCTCTCCCTCTCTCTCTCTCTCTCTCTCTCTTTCTCTCTCTCTTTCTCACTCTCTCTCTCCCTCTCTCTCATTACAAATAAATCATGAATTGATGCGCCCCCTGAGAAATGTTGTGGTCATCTTTGGTCCTAGTAATCCTCATTACCAAGATTTATGTTTTGATTGCTCTAATATATCTGATTAAACTCTGATAATTAGGCAGGACCAGACCGGAGAAAACGCAGAATTCACAGTAGATCACTGGGAGTTGTAAACCCCTCTATCTAAGACATTAGTAGAGGATCATGCTGTGTCCACTCAGCACTGCCTCTTCTCGCCCAATCCCTTAAAATGATATAGCAAGATCAACAAATGACAACAATCGCTACCAGACTGTTCCATTATCCACTCTGCTCAGCACTTCTCTATCACTGGCCATTGACTTGTTTCTGCCTGCGGTCAGTGAGAAGCCTTTGCTAGTGTCTCCGGAGAGAAAGAGTCAGCGTACTGTCTCAAGAGCCTCTGTAACTCCAGTCCCTCTCTGATCCTTAGTGGAGGCCATCCGTTCTCATCAATTTACACTCAATGAGCCACTTACAAACATAAACAGTAAAGAACACACTCCAGCCTCCTCGTGCCTCGAGTTGCATAACTGCAGAACTGGGTCACAAATCAGAAGTCGCTGCTTGCAGCATCTGTGCTTGAAATTTGCTGTCACGCATGATTTTTTGTGCTTATGTGTGACATATTCATTACTAATCACCTGATGGCGAGACGGAGACACTGCTGACACAAGGGAAGCATCATTTTTCTTAATCAAAAACAACATTTTGTCAAAGGTGGACGCTTATGATAAGCGTCTAATTGCATTCTGCGTAGCAGCTGGCCAAACACAACTTCAGCATAGCATTTGTTCTGAATGGTCCAGTGCTGCACAGTCCAGCAGCAATGACACACACAGAATGGCCCTTTTGTGTCTTTGACAGGATTACACAGCAAAGGGTTTCCAATTAGCCTGTTTCCACAACACCAGTGGCCCACTTCATATCTCTCTGAGACACTGCACTGAGAGGTCTGGATCATGTGAGACCAAACTGCTTGTAGCCAAAAGAAGCAATGGTCAAACTAAAGAGCATTGCTAGACCTACACTCTTAAGAACCCATACAAGGGTAAAGAACTAGGCTTACACAATGATCTCAGTATCATATTGGTGTTGTCCAATATTTGCTTAAAAAACGTATCTGCATACATAGGAAAGATGCTTACGTTTGACTGGTATTCCAATCCGATATTTGATGCCGCATTATTTTTATGCTGGAAGAGCAGAATCTTTAGGTGACACTGGACTGCTGGGCTAAAGTGACTGCATTTACTGCATTTTAATTTTACTGCATTTGTGACCTTAAAGAAATATGTCCTCAAAGTTTAGTTATAGCACTCTCTTTACAGCAGGGGTTGTGTTTATGTATATGAAAATATGGCCCACAAATACCCAATTTGGTACATCCCTATGAAGAACGTTTATATTATTAAAAGTCTCCTAACAGTTACACATCTCTTTTACAAACCTGGTTCTTTAGGGCAGAGAGTAGAGTGAGAGTAGTTCTTACTTTTAATTGGTATAGAACATTTTCATTATGTAGAGATTCTTTAAACTTTAAAAATTCGCACTGCTCATTTACAAAAATAGTTCTTTAAAGAACCATCTTTTGAAAGGTTCTTTGTGAAACCGAAAGTGCCTCCTCTATGACTTCACTCCAAACAGTTCTTTTTCCACCTTTTTTTTCAATAGTGTAGTCTGATGCTGATGCTGTCGTGACTAAACATCAAAAGGCTGACACAGTGGCAGGAGTGAGCCAGACTGGGCTGGACAGACCGGGAAAAACAAATGTATCTAAATGAGATTAAAGAGTTGCATGCACTTGCAGTGTCATATAGTAATCAGATTATGCCTTGAATCCAGTCCAGATAGCTGTGCCCCAGAGGGCTCGTTCAGCAGAGAGACCTGCACTTTATGTCTGATTTTGTCCCTCGGCAGTAGGCTTCATATTGTAACACTGAACTAAACGTGAAGGGCTGCACAATGTAGCACTTTTGTTCGTTTGTTTTTGTTTCATTTCGGTCATTTTTTTTAAATAATACTATCTGGCACTTACCGTGAGTGGACATTTCTTGAAATATGACCAATAGAAACTGTCTAAAATAATAAAACATTGTTCCATTAACTTAAATTAAATGTAAGTATTTTTTTCTTCTCTTGGAAAACTGACCTTTTTTGGAGATACAGGGCTTTGTGATGACAGCAGACCTCAACCAAATCACAGCCAGAGATCCTGTGTGTGGTTTCATAAACTAATATTGTTTTGGACAAAAGTAATTTTGTCTTTAAACAATGTGTTTTAACCCCTTAAATGAAAAGAACCCACTGGGAGCTCCAAACTGTTATTACACACTTCTGTAACATAAGAATAAATTAACCAGAAAAAAATAGCTTTGGAATTTAATAAGCTTAGGATTTTAAGGGTTTAATAAAATGCAAGTCATGCTGCAATTACAATATGCAGCAATAGAATCACATTATACCATTTTATCCATATTTGTCCTGTGTACTTAGCATGTAATTAAACCTCTTATAAAGTTAATAAACAGCCTTCATATATGGTAACAGCTGTCTATGTTATTCAAGACAGTAAATAAGACACAAACTCTTACCTCTTGGTCACAGTGCCCTTTAACAAGGCTGGTTGTCTCGCTGGGGTGGGAAGAGGGGTCATTTTTGGCTCGGTCCGTGGTGCTCATGCTGTGGGGAGGAAAGAGAAGAGATGAGGGGAGAGAAAGCAAGAGAGAGAGAAAGAGAGAGGAAGAGATGGGTGGAAAGGATAAGGCTGAGTAGGAGCAGCTGTCTGTTCAGAGACACACCCCATCACCACACTCCTATTCATAACATGCACACTATCATCACCCTCTGTCCCTTTCATGACACACAAACACACCATCATCTCCCATTCATATCACATGTAAACAACCACACAACTCTCATCATCTGTTACTGCCACTGGTTACTGAGATATTACTCTAATACTTAAATCGATGGCTCAGCCAAAATTCATATTACATAATTTTCCCATTACCCCAACTGCAGTTGATCAACCGAGACGTGTTTGTTGTCTGAAGTTTGCTTTTTTAGTTTTGAAGTAGAGCTTTGAGACTAAAGTAGCTCAGGCCTTTAGCCACCCCGTTTAGCAGCAGTGGTGAACAATGTACACAAATCCAGTATATGAGTGAAAGTAGATATACTTTTAGTAAAATATAACGCAAGTAAAATTATAAGTGCTCCATCTGTACTTTTACTTGAGTGACAAGTACAAAAGTACTTGCTTTGAACCCTCCTGTTATCTTCAAATTTACTAACATCTTTTAACCTTGGGGTTGATTTGACCCCAGCACTTTAAACCTCCAGGAAAGATCAAAGTCCTGGTGGGAATTGTTTTCCCCTGCCTCATGTGGCGAGAACTATCAGTGGTTCTCACACTGCTACAGATGTGCTTATGTTAGGTTAAGGCCCTAAAGCAGAGGGAAGTGTTTTGAAGATTTTAAAATTTACATGTTATGGTGACCTCAATATCATCCAAAACAACACACACACACACACACACACACACACTATCTAAGCCACTTATCCTTCTGTGTCCTGAGGGGGGTGCTGGAGCCTATCACAGCATTCATTGGGCGGAAGGCAGGAAACACCCTGGACAGGTCGCCAGTCCATCACAGGGCAGACACACAGAAGTATACATTCACATGCACTATCACACCTAGGGGCAATTTAGCATCTACAATCCAAACAAATGTCTGTTAAATGTTGATATTTTTGTTTTATACAGCTGAAACAGCGTGGGGCTCAAACTGACCCCAAACAACACAGAAGTATGCAAAAAGTCTACAGGACATTCAAAAAAATATCTAAACATGGTAATGTTATGTTTACCCAGTTGTCACCATTAAATTAGGAAAAGTCATTAAATATGAAGAAAATAGAAATGATAGCAATCATTTATTCAGAGACGTTAAACACTGAATGGGCTCAAATTGACCCTAAAGATAATATGAGGGTTAAATGTACTTAAAGCTGCACTATGTACGTTTTGGGGATTTGGAGACCTCTCTGGTGGAAATGTGTAATTGCACACAACAGAAGAACATTTTGTAATGTTGGTTGTGCTTTGGACACTCGAGAGCGGATAAATCTAATGATTGTTGAAAGAGTATTAAAAGAGAACCCAGTCGAAACTTGGTGAAGGACGTGCCTTCCTTTATTGTCTTGTCATCACATCTTCATTAGCATAATGCTGATTTTGCGTGACCTACATATCGGGCGAGACCTTCTTTTGGAGTCTGTACGTGTGCCGTTAATATGTAAAGATGTATGACATGGTCTGAAAACCCCCCATTCTGACACCTCTGATTTTAAATGACTATTTCATGCTTTACATGGTGACTCTCAGCAGTGCACGTGTGTCATATTTTAACATTTTTTTTCTGCTACTATGTTTTTTCTTGCTACTTCTTTCAATGCTATTTCAAAGTGCAGTTTTTAGTATCAGAAGAAAAGTATTATAAAACATCTTCATTAAACATTACTAAACGTTTCTTCTCTTGTGTCTTTGGTTTAGGAAATTGGTACAATTTTACTCACCATCCAGACTCCTGTGATATCAGGTATGTGATATAGAAATATCTCGCACAATGTTGTGGCATTTGCTTTCACTCTAAAAGCGTGTCAGAAGTGCCAGGGCCTAGTTAGAGTTCTAAGCAACTGTATATGTGGACATATTTAGGGGGTTTAGGGGAATATTAGGGGGTTATTTGGCGGACTTCATAAAAAGATTGCTATTATTGGCTTGATTTGTTTCGTAATCTTTAGTGTATTATGGGAAATCGATTTTTCATTTCACAATATTGTTCAGAAAGTAGTGGAGCTCAAAGCAGAATATTTTACTGTGAAATGTAATAGAGTGAAAAATAAAAGTCTCAACAAAGAGAAATATTTAAAAAAAAACACAAGTACAAGTACTTAAGTACAGTAATGAAGTGCATGTACTTTGTCACTGCCTGCCTAAATCAGCACACATTTAATCTCAAACAGACTTGCTTATGTGGTTTCTAAGACTGTATGACTTACTGTTGTCTATTAAAATGGACAAAAGTACATCACAAAGCTAAAAACTAAAGTAGTAGCTTTTATGTGTTGCTTTCGTCCATTTTCATAGGTAACAGTGTGTCATGTATGTAGAAAATATCAGATATTAGCATCTGTCCACAATTCTGAAATCTGTACATGGTTAATTTTTGACCAGAACCATTAATTTACCAGTCTAGATAAATCAATCAATCAACCTTTATTAAGTGACCCTCATTTACAACGTAGCCAAGCAAGTTAAACAGGAATTGAAAAATACATATATTAAAATGAAATTTATCAACAACTATAAATCAAAATCAGAGACAAAATAAGAAACAAAAGCTGAAATGAGAAATAGGCATACAATAGCAATAAAATATACATCTCTAACAGACTCAGCATTAACTAAACCACTTCTGATAAAGTAAATAAGAAACCCGCATGTATGATTTGATCTAAGTTTATATTATAAGCTAAAATACATCGTATGTAACAAGAACGTAGCTTTTAAGACGCATCAAGGTTTGCAAGTGTACCAACAGAGACCTGAAGATGGCAGCAGTGAAGTATTCTGTTTATAGCTGTCTGTTGCACAGAAGCAACCTCACACCAAAACGTCTGCCAGTCATGTTGACGAGTAATGAGAAGTTTCAGTGAGATTTTACTTAAGAGTCAGTCTACACAGATGATTCTTTTTAAATGTTGTTTAGTTAATTGTGATTTAATGATTCACTGATTCACAACCTAGTTCATCTTCCACCTCACCTCGTCCCGATAGGCCTTTAATGACATTCAGTTCAGTGAGTAAGCCTGATGCTCTACTCATTAATGCAGTCAGATAGAAGAGGGAGCTGGATGCTGTCCACTGAGGGGCAGTGTAAACTGATTCAAAGAGGATGTTTTTAATATGTTACAATTTATGCTTCTTGGATTTTGTTAGAATTAGTATTAATAGATTTTTTCAGAAGTTGCCTGCCTGTAACATGGCTGTAAACAAAAAGCTTGATTCAGTTTGACTTCAGTCTGCCAAGATAATGACATTTTAGTTGATGATTAACTGCCATATAATTGCAATGAACAATTTGTGTTTTTTGTTCACCACATGCAATTATGAAAGCACAAATATGAGGTTGATCAATGGATAATTTTGTTTCTTAACTGTTGATCCTTCATAGCTGATGATGAAGATGACGCACTGCTGCCCTCTAAACCTATTTTAGCAGCAGTCAGAAGTTAGAACTGTCTTGTTTTGTGTTTTTGGCGTTCTGTCATTTACATGCGTTGCCTCAACCCAACTGATGAAAATGCACACAGTTCACGTTCTGTTTGTTGTGATGTCAACATACAATTGTGAAAGATAACAGCTCTGACAAGTAACTGCAGTCAGCTCAAATAATTGCAAAGCGGTGATTATGTAATAATTGTGACAGGCCTACTTATGAATCTGTTTACTGAGAAGAACCAGTTCATATAATTGATTCATTCACAAGTCAGGCTTCTGAAAAGCTGTTCAGAGAAGTGAACTAGTTAAGGAGTCCCTTAGTTAGAGAAGAAAAGTAGATTTTTTTTAAATGATACTTTTAAACTATTTGTTTCAGTGAATCAAAGTCTGATGTAATGGCTCATTGATTCACAAATCAAGTTTATCTTTAACCCTCTGGGGTCCATCAACTCACCCACACATCAAATTCAATGTTTCTGTATAAGTATCTCCATCTTTCTGATGATACACTTCAAATTCATTCAATTCCATCTTATCGTGAGATCATACATGACTCACATCCAGAGTTATGAGGGAGTGAGGAGGGGTTGAGATACACATCATCTTCTTCTTACTGTGTATAACTGGTGGATTTGTGAGACTTTCTACATATTGTGTGAAACTGACCAATGGACACTCAGGAAATCACTAAGGACTGACCCATCACGCTGGAAATCCTTCATTCTTTCATTCAGTCGACCTCAGAGACACAGACTGTCTTTAGTATTCTTAAGTAACTAGCGATGCAGCGCTGCTCTGCCTCAGTCCGGTGCTGTAGCAAAATGTCTCCCCCAGTTGGTTCTTTGTAGCCTAGCAAGTGTAACTATGGTCGGGATACCACTGAAAAAAATTACAATTTGCGGTAGCATATTTGTAAGTCAGAAAACTTGCCCAATTTTCCATGAAACTGTTGATAATTATTACTCATTTCTTGAATTGAAGACAAAAGAGGAGATGTGTAAGATCTCAGTTAATGTGGTTAAGATCAAACTAGAAAACAGCAGAAGAATTGTTAAACCAAACATTTTGTTGCCTTTGAAGCTAGCACCAGAGCCGGCAAGAGAGTGGGCCACCAGCCAACACTGAAGTAGCCAGCCAACATGGTACTCCCCCCCAAATGCCACGTGGTATTTTGGACACTGGCCACACCCCTGCATTTTATCGCAGAAAGTGAGAATACATCCCTGTCCCTTATGGCCACATGGTGAGCAGTTAGATCCCATTGTTTTGAAGTAAATGTTTCCTGAAGTTTGAGACTCTGTGTGTGTAATCAGTGTGTAACATTAAGAATGGCCAATTGACAATTTTAATTGTCAAAAAAGCAAAATTTTGTGTTTTAATGAAAAACATTATGATTCTATGTGTGTCCAGCTGTTTAAAGCTGTGTTTGCTAGTCACATACTGGCTAGCATTTTTTATTTTTAATCTCTGACCTTGAAGATTAGGTAGATTAAT